GTGCCGGGCGCGGCCCCCCGCGCCCCGGGCCTGCCCCGCTCTGAGTGGAGGCGGGGGGCGCCGCCGCGCTCGCCCTGAGGCCCCGCTTGCTGCCGTCTCCTCATGGCTCTCTTCCCCCCTGTTCCTCTGTAGGAGAGAAAGGAGGCCTTGTCTCCGTTGGGTACGGCGACGATGACTTCACCCGCCTGGATGGGGACGAGGATGGGTACGAGGAGGAGGACGATGAGAACAGCAGGCAGTCCGTAAGTAGCTCTCTGCTCCTAGGGCTTGCCCTGGCACTTTGGCACGTTGCGGAGCCTTGTTCTCCGAGGAAAGCCCCTGACCGGCAGCCGAGCTGGAACCTGGGAGCTCTGACTCCTACTGTGGTTTTTGGCACTTCCTGAACACTGTCGTTCACTTCCATTTGTTTCCAAGTAGGAGACGTTCACTTTGAAACCCATCAGCAGCTTGGCACAGCTTGTGTTGCTTGCTACTAACTCTGATTTTTTTTTTTTTAAATGGAAAAGATGTTGGTCCACAGTCATCTAAAACATAACTTATTTCTTAAAAAAAAAAAAGTATCTACTAAAATCCTGTGAGACAAACATGCTGTTGCATGACTAGTTGGAGGATTAAAAAGAATAAAGCTATGCGATCTCTTAAATTATTCTTTTGTGTATAACTGAACTCACTCACTACATCAGGTCATTTTGATGTAGCAATGTTCTATCTAGACTTGAGTGGGTTTTGTTTGTCACAGATGCATGGCATGTCTCTAATAGCATCTTAACGCCAAGATAATTGGTGTGTTGTGAGACAGGGCATGAAATTCACTGCATGTGAGTGCAGCTAGAACACAAAAAAGGAAAATTTGTTCTGTTGTGGGACTATAGGAGCAAAACAAGAAGGCTTCTCAGAGGAGTTCTTGTCTCCTTTCTCTCCGATCAACCTTCTGCCTGCCACGACAGTAACAATATGTTATCTTACTCATGCTTTAGTTTTTGTGGCTACCCTGCAGAGGAGGGAAATAAGGCCCTGTTACTACAATCTCTTTCTCATTGAAAGCTGTTTTACCTGCGTTGGACTATTTTCTTATGAGAAACTTGCTGTTTTTCCCAGGTGCTATTACTGACCTTCCCCAGTAGCAGAAAAGAAAATAGTCTGTTTTTGGTTCTGGCTTTTGATTCTTGTTCTGTTGCTACTTTGAGAAGGTGTAAGTGATAGCCAGATTCTAGGATTAGATCCCGGTTTATCCTCAAAGTAAAGTAATGAGGGTTTTTTACTGCATCAGTGATCGTTGGGTGTTTTGTGTGTGTGTGTGGTTTTTTGTCTCTAGAGCTTTTAGACTCTCTTTCAATGAGAACTCCTTAGTTTAAAAGAAAGTGGTAAGTGTGAACTAGATGGTTGTCGAGAACTGTTATGTGTAGCATTGACAAATAGGCACATAGACTGGGTATTTTTTCTTGCATACACTGTTTTCAGTATAGGTTCAGCTGTCCATCATTTGAGAACTGCAAAATACCTTTCCGGTAACGGTGATTGGTCAAGCCACTGCAGTGGTTAGCCTGTAGTTCTGGTGTGTACTTGTAGTCATTCACCCTGTAGATCTCTGCAGGTTTGCACTTAGTTACCTGGGGGGGGCTTCTTATCTAGTCTTGTTGCAGGAGAACAAAGTGTATTTCTTGCATCTTTGACCAGATTCAAGAGCTTCCTTGAATTTGCTTGTGCTAGTGGCTTATATTGATTTTTGAGTTCTTTTTAGAAAACAGTGCAAGTTGGACTCTGCTTGTCTTGAGTTTTTACCTAAGCACCTGTGTCCTTACGTTAGCTACCTTGGCCATGATCGAAAAGGCCCCCCTCCCTCTTTTCTCCCCCTGTAACATGTTTTTAGTTCTAGGGCTATTACCTATCAGGTTAGTGGGATTTTAGATCCATTTCAGTTACCTGTCTTTAACATGAACAATTCAGCCCAGTGTTGCTCTGTTGAAAATGACTTATCTGTTTACTGTGAGGGAGTATGGAGGGGAGGGGAATCTCAAGTGTGATTAAGCACCAGCTTACTTGGTACTATAATTCTTGTTTAGTTGTACACTTACTAGTATTAAACTTTGACTGATAAGCCTGAATTATTGGCACATGTGCATGTTTCAGAAAAGCAAGCTAGGGAGTAATGGAAACGAAGAAGAGATTTGATATCCCACTTCTGTGGGATATGTGTGTTTTTTCAGGTAGTTACAACTTACTGACACAATTGCATGATCACTCTCTAGCTTGCCTTGCCAGATGTTGCTCATGTGCTAATAACCTGAAGTGGCCACTTCATTATCAACCCTTCCTTTCAGTTGCATGTAATCATCTCACTACTCTTTGTTTTTGTTTTTGAAGCTGAAACACCCAAGTTCTTGTTTTGGGGCCAAAGTTGAAATTCAGTGACGAAGTTTGGAGGAAAAACCATTCTGCTGAGTTGTGTGAGCATGAAAAACTCTTTCTGCTCCTCAAATTTGTTTTGAACCCAGAGTATGTGTTTATGTTTAGAAACATAAGTAACTGTAGGATCCCCAGTAAAGTAGCTAGCTGATGGGTCAATGGAACTTTAGGCTTAGCTACCAGTTGGGCCCAGAGCTGTAGCTTACTTCTAAGATGGTGTGGAAGGTTACAAGAGGTTTTGAGTTTAATATTTTTAAGCTCTCATAGGGCAGAAATTTGCTCTTGCCCCAGCTCTCTGGCTTATTTCTGGGTATAAGTAAAAATTGAATGAAGACTGTTACTTAAAACACTTAAGTGTCAATGATTCCGTTCTGTACAAGTTCATGTTATGAGCTGCAGATAAGGCTACTAGAGCACTGTACAAATAAGAAAGATGCGGTGTCAGCTGGCATCACCGGATCTTTGGAACTTGGTGCCAGACCCTCACCAAGCCTGCATGTTTGGTTGGATGGCAGGCAAGCTGTGTCCTGTATGTGTTGCTGATGTGTGCTTGGGAGTACAGTAGGTCTTGCAAATGCTGCTTTTTCTGTGAATACTGCTGAACAGGGGCAAGTGCAAAAAAGCCCCCCCAAAACTAGAGGAGTCAGAATTATGAAATGAGAAATGCTTTTTTTCCCCCCAGTTCTATGGCTTCTCATTGTCTAGTTTTGAGCATTCAGGAGTTGCATGAATTCTATGGGAGTTGTCTGCTACTTAGCGATGCTTTTGCTTTAAAAAAACAACAGAACCCCCACTTGTTTCCATGACTGTAGGACTTATTTTCCTTTTGTAAGTGGGTGGGGCAAAACTAACTTCTGTGGAAAGGGTCTTGGACTGCTGCTGGGCTGCTGTATGCAAGCCCTTTGCTGAAAGTGCAGTAACTTGCCAAGCCTGCTCTTTAAGCTTAATCCTGTAAATTCTTGTCTTGTAGGAAGATGACGATTCAGAGACTGAAAAACCTGAGGCTGGTGACCTAAAGGTATTTGGAAGTGTGGTGTGGTGGGGGGGGAAAGCTCAGTACAAAAGGAATAAGTCTTAACAGCATGGGTTGGTCTTGGTTTGTGATCTTCTGTAGCTAGTTTCACACGTTCTTTTTTTTGTAGCTGCAACATGATTTTTTGTAAGGTCTTAAAATCTGGCTTTTGCCAAAGGTAGTTAACTGGTCAGGCTATGGACTCAACGTGAGGATCTGGTTCTGAACCCCTGAACTTGGCCTCTTCTTGTGAATGAAATCTGAGGTGGGCTTTCTGACAGCATCTCATCTATTTTGCAGTGATCTGGGAGATGTAGTAGTCAGTACAGAATTCTCTTACTTCTGACCAGCATTAGTTGAAAGACTTTTATTAGAACAACTTAATAAGTGATTTTGTACTCCTAGAGGTCAGGAAACATGACAAAATTGGCTCAAATGTCTCCAGCTCTTCCTACCAATTTGAATAAAGTTCTTTGGCAAAGATTATATTAAAAAAAATTGGAGTGATATGCCCAAATGACAGCTATCGTAACGCCATGATTAATTGAAGTTCTTTGTATCCTGGGATTACATCTCACTTCTGCTGAACAACAGGTGTTTAACAGAACATAGGAACACAGATAAGGCAAGAAGTAGGGAGAAAGGCCAAATCCATTTGACACGTAGAGATACGTGCTCCGATTTCGATGTCAGATCAATCCCCCATGCAGTATGAGAACTCTTTTGGAATATTGAATGAATGACGATTACAAGGGTCTTTGTTTTATCCAGTGACTTCTTCAAAGGTGCAGAGCATCTCTAAACTTTGCTGAGAAAACCAGAGGGCCATGCTGCAAGCTGAAATTCTGTAGAGCATTTAAATTAATGTACAGCTTTCATGGGACAATAGGAAGGCAGATCTATGCGTTTAGCTCTCCTGCCTATATATATTTTGTAACAGCACCTTCATATCAATTTCCATGATATCTGCATGGGTCTACAGTGGTAGACAGCTGAAAATCTTGGCAGCTGTACTGTAGCTGGTGAGGTCTCTTGCATCACAAAGTGTGAAATGTGGCTGAAGCCTTTGGCATGCAAGTAGGAGACACAGAAATGGAATGTACTGTTGCCTTTCCTTGTTGCAAGAAAAATAATTCACAGATTTCCTTAAGAGAGCAAAGGGCCATCACAATCTTTGTTCTTTCTCCACAAGCTGCCATTTCACTTAACTTTTAAATATTTCCCATTGTGGCTGGCTTAGGCATGCTAGCAAGGTATTTCTAAAAACTGGTATATTCAAATATTGCATTTGCTTACACCCATTAATTTGAATAGAGGAATAGACAGGCTTGCCTTGAATGAGAATTTTGTTGTATATCATCACAGCCCCTGTAGCAAGGCCTTGTTGCAACTATATGCCTTTCTGTCTGCTGAAAAAGGGCCCTGAGACTTCAGGGCAGTAGTGAAGCTGTCCGACAGCTCGGAAGTAGAACAAAATAAGATTATCGTAGCTCTTGTCTAAATAACGATGAATTATAGATAGCTTAGAGCTGAATTGTGCAATTACTGCTTTAAGGTATTTCTGATGCTTCATGTCAGTTTGCGTAAAAAGCCTCCTGATTTCAGTGAGTTTTATGTGTTACTGTACAGATGTATTTTGCCCTTCTGAAGAGCAGTTACATGTAGCTATGGAGCAGCATTTCAGCTTAATATGGGGAATCGAAAGTGTTTAGTATCTTAGATACACTCTGCAGTAAGGACTCTACTCAGTGGTCAAACCTGAGTGTTGTTCTCTGTTTAAAGAGAATTTCTTCCTCTCTGAAAGGAAAGTATTTGGGAAGGATAGCAGGGAGACAGAGCTGAACCTCAGTAGTTTGACTTCTATATTGTCCTTACTACTTGACTTTAGACGTAAATGAAAAAGGCAATAGCTCCTCTGGGCTTTTTATAGTTCTAGCTAAATAGCTAGTGGGCCCTGGGAGGGATGGGAGAGGAAGAATCACATGTCAGTGTGCTACATGACATACTGCCAGGTGGCCCAGTGCTGTGTTGCTGACAGGGCAGGCATGTTGCTGTAAACCATCACGTGGGGCGCTGACTTGTACTGGCCGTGCTATTAAGAAATTCAGGGGAGGGAGAAGGTATGGAACATATAAAGGTAATCTTAGTCAGAGCAATAGCAGGTATTTCCTATCACCCTTTTCCACCAAGTGGCAGTGTTCTCCTGGTTCTTCCTTGCTGCTTTGAGCTTGCAGCATCTCTGAGAACTTGTGAGTAAGAGTTGTTGCTGTAAATGCAAGGTGTGGCAGGAAGTGGGGCACTTGATTAACTCGCTGACACTTTTGGATAACTTTATTTTTTGTCCCAGCTGAGTACTGAAATTGTTCTTGCTATATGGACTTCATTGTAAGACATCACAGATCTGGAGACGTGTTTAAATAGGTGGCATAGGCTCTTTATACGTGGCTAGGACTTTTCCAGGATTTGAATCTGACTTTGTCAGAAGACCCGTCCTTCAAAAGGCTATTATGAATGAGCCTGAACCCTTGCAATTGATCAGTTAATTACAGAACTTTTTATAAGCCCTGAGTGTACATCCCACGTTGTTTCTACTGTTTTCCTCTCTGAACATATGGTAAATGAACTATATTGAGCTTGTGTCTTAGAGTCTTGGTCAATTATTTAATTAACTAGGCCAGGTTATATGGAGAAGGGGTTCCCATGTACCTGCTGCATCCTGTGGTGGTGTTGTGGACTTGAACAGTAACATACACAAAACCTCCAGAAGACTTGCTTTGCGTCAGTTATGGATATAGACTGAAGAGACTAAAAAGTGGGGAATGTTGTAAAAACTTGCGCTGACAAGTGCACCAGTAAAATAATGGTGGAGATGTGTGAATTTAGTGCCTGTCTCATAGCTCCAATGAGGAGAATTTTTTTTTTTCTATCCCCCTCTGTGGTGTTTGAATTTACCTCAGTTTTTTGTCCTGAGCCCAGTCAGCATGCCCTTGGTTGCTCTTGATGAAGGCTTATCTGTCCGCTTCGGCAGCCCTTGTTCCTCACTAGAGGCGAAGGCAGTATAAAGGGCTGGATGGGACTGCAGCTTTCCCATTTCTTCTGAGTTCTGAGCAGCGAGTCCTGATAAGCATTTCAAGATCAAACACTTCTGTGATGTCAAGCTGCTGTTTTATCAATAGCCTCAGGAGATAAACTGAGGCTTTCTATAAACCTTCTTGAGAGATGGGTGTGTCAGGAGTAGAAGATTTCTTTCAGATGATTGCTGAAGCTTAAATATTCTTCCAGAGTAGACTTTTGGACCATAGGACGCTCTGTTACTGAGCACTTATGAACCAGTCCTGAACATTGTATGCTTATAGAAAAACCAGAATCTTCCTCTTAAATTTAAGTAGCGTAGTCAGATATGTTACATCCTGTAGCTGTGTTTGAAGTGAGTCAGGGACTCATGGAAAACAGGAGATTCAAATCTAGGAAAAACTAATTGATTTCCAGAATCTTACTCTGGAAGGATGTGCTCAGCATGCGGGGCAAGAGGTGTTTGTTATTGACCCAAATCATTTCATTGGTCCCTGTTTTTAGGATTAAGCAACAGTCGCTTGCTGCAAACAAGCTACTGTCTTAAAAGAATTTTGGAAACAAAATACTTCTTAGAAGGGAAAAGAAATGGTCAACAGAAGTTGCTGGCAAAAGCATGATGTTAAAAGATGGTGTTCTGCATCTAGATGGGCTCTTTATGTCCTCTCCTGAGATGATGAAACTGTGGATTTAAAAAAAAAAAAAAAACAAGAGCTTGTGAATGCTGGTCTGAAATTTGGCATTTTGCTGGCAGTTGTTTGGAATGACAAGGGTTAAAGGGCTGCGCGGTGTATGCGGTCAGCTTGGGCTCTTGCCAGGGGCTGCCTATGGTTACAGCCTTGACGCAGTAACAAAATACAAGCCTTCAGAGCTCACTAATGGACCAGCCCCGCAGGAGGAAGCGAAATGAATCTTAGATGAAGTGCTGACCTCATGCTCCAGGCCTTACTTGGAGGGTTCTGTACTGTCACATTGTGGGGCCGGGTGAATAACAGGTTACAAGTGGTGATCAAGGACAGAGTCCAGCCCTTCTGCTTGGCTTACTGGCGTTTTCACAGAGGGAATCATTAACTCTCAAGCCTTGATTATGGTATCAGGACTAGCCAGCACAGGAAAGTTGATAAATATTGCCACTCCCTTTGCGAGGGAATGCCTGACACATGGTAACAGTTTCTGAAAGCAGGTAGCTACCTTGATGTTTTCCTGTTTTGTTTTGGGTTTTTTGTTTGTTTTAAGGCTCCCCTGCTTTCTTCCGGTATTATACTGAGAGGCAGCCAAACTGGGATCTTGTAGAAGCAGCAAAAAGGCGTCAAGGTTTTAAGAGAAGTGCTGCATTCCTGAGCATGTCTCTGAAGTACCTTAAGGATCTCCAGATTTGTTTAGCTTTTATGGATCCAGTCTACCTGTAAAATATTTTCACTGTGTTATGATGCATAGGTGTGTACCAATACTTAGAGGATCTTAATTGCAGTGCTTTTTATGTTGTCTGCCCATTAACTTGTCTGTTTAAATACAAAAACTATGTTGCTTTCAGGTAAAAATGAGAGCTGAGAATCAGTAAATGGAGGTGTGTGCAGCAAAGTATTCTCTGTAACCTTATTTGGTAAGGCATGTTAATATTTCTGTGTTCGAGACACTTTGAGAATCTAGCTTCACAAATACCTGCCTGAACCTACTCAGTAACTTTGACCTAAGTGCACTGGCTTGTAGTGCACTGTGGAAAGGCTCTCAATGTCTTATCAGAGTCAAATTTCATTATTTTCTTTCACATCCCCCCCACCCCCGCCTTGCTTTTTGACACTGCTCAGGTAGGTGTTTTGGCACCTCATGGACAGAAATGGCACAAGAGCCCCTATATTTCAAAAAAGACCTTTATTATAGATGGCTGTGCTACGTACATACTTGTAAACGTTTTCAAAGTGTTAACTGTGCAA